TTTTACTGTATGTAAAATTTACCTTATAAAAGGAAAGAAACATGTTAAATTCCTATTAATGATATACATGCTGAATTATTAAGGGAAAGCATGCTGAGGTCTCTGACTTACTTTAAAATGCATTAAAAAAAACTGACACTGAGACTGGCTCAGTGGGTGGAATGTGCTGCTCTTGATCTTGGGGCTCTAAGTTTGAGTCCCACACTGGGTGTAGAGATTACTTAAAAATAAAATCTTTAAAAACCAAACCAAATCTGGGATAGATTGATGAATGGATAGAGGGATGGGTTGTTGGATAGATTAGGCTAGTCTAGTCATAGTAGTAGTAAAAATGGTAGGTAAGTGGTAGGTATATGGACAGATGTTCTCTCTCAAGATTTTTTGAACTTTTCTGTTGTATTATCCTTAGGCTATCTGTAGCAACACAGAAGTTGATATCGGATGTGTGGAGAGTGCTTCAGGATGATATCAGCGTTGTTAATTTTTATAAAAACCTGGTTAGTGAAGTGAGGAATCTCTCTAGCACTCTGTAATGAGATGGGGACTGACCATGAAGATCATTTGAATCCCAAGGGCTTCTTTGGGATTCAATCTCACAGCAAAGAAAAGAGCTGTTGAATTCTACCCACTGAGGATAGGTGAAATGTGTTTTTAAATGAAAAGATATGTCAGATTTGCTGACTTTTTTTATATGAGAAGTGGCTATGTAATATATTTCATAGCAGATTAAAAATTAACCAACCACCCAAATCAGTGGTATACTCTGACAACATCCCTTTAAAGTAAAGGTAATGTTTTGGGGTGCCTGGGTGGCTCAGTGGGTTAAGACTCTGCCTTTGGCTCAGGTTGTGATCTCAGGGTCTTGGGATCGAGCCCCGCATCAGGCTGTCTGCACAGTGGGGAGCCTGCTTCCTCCTCTCTCTCTGCCTATTCGTGATCTCTCTCTCTCTCTGTCAAATTAAAAAAAAAAAATCTAAAGTAAAGGTAATGTTTTAATAATGAGTGAGAAAGTCAGTGCCTTTTTGAAGACATTAAAATACAGAGTGTGTTTTTTTTTTTTAAATTTTATTTATTTGACAGAGATCACAAATAGGCAGAGCAGCAGGCAGAGAGAGAGAGAGGAGGAAGCAGGCTCCCCGCTGAGCAGAGAGCCCGATTTGGGGCTTGATCCTAGGACCCTGGGATCATGACCTGAGCCTAAGGCAGAGGCTTCAACCCACTGAGCCACCCAGGCGCCCCCAGAGTGTTTTTAAGAATCATTGCTTGAAAATGTTTCTTTTATAATGTTATTTTTGTTGTCAAAGGTAACTGTGTTTTGTGAAAACTTTGTTATCTGCACACTTAAAAAACCTGTAACAATATTTGCTGTACTGTTGAAAAATCTTTCAAATAAAGAGTTTTTATTTTTTTTTTCTCCTTTTTTTTTTT